CTGCAGAGGAAGGTGTGGAGGAACCTTTCCGTGCTTGCAAAGACTGCAGTTGGCCGGCGAGTTGACTTGCCAGCTGGGTGGCAGCAGCCGCCTCTTTCTCCGCCGCGGCGTGTTTGTCCTGTAGCGCGCTGAGCTGGCCCAGGAAAAAGGAGATCCGATCCTCCGCCGCCCGGGCGGCCTGGTCAGCAGCTTGCTGCTTCTCTTCGAGGCGAGAGATGTGAGCCTTGAGCAGAGCAATGCGGTCAGACGAGGTGAGCTGGGGGTGCAACCCCAGAAGACAAAGGCGGATAGGAAAGGAGAAGGGGGAAGGGGCACGAGGAACGCAAGAGACGGGAGGATGAGGTGTTTGAAGCGCGAGGCGCGGGCTTTCAGCAGCGGATCCAAGCAAAGAGATGAGCATGCGGCACAGAGATTACGAGCGATTGGGAAGACACAGGAGGAGGAGATTAGTGCATCAGGCACGGCAGCGGCAGGCGTGGAGAGGGGCAGAAGGAGGAGGGGGGTAGACGGAGGAGGGTGAACAGCAAGGGAGGCAGCCAGTGCACAGAGCAACGCAACCAGAGTGGAGGGGAAAGAGCAGGTGCACACGAACGAACCAAAGATTGCAGTGCCCAGCTCACAGCGCTCACCTCAACGTCGTCCATTTGCTTCTCCGCTGCCCTTGCCGCCCTGCGAATGGCCGCCTGCACAGATGGACACACGCACATGTGTGGTGGAGTGCGCATGTGGGCACATGAATAGGTGGGAACAGAGCCAGTCAGGGAAAGGCTTTGCAGGGTTGCACCATGTGCAAAAGCGATGCTGTTGACACAAGCGAAAGCAACGAGGCAGCTGGCAGATGGTTGCACGAGGAGGTAATGCGCATGCAAGCATCCAGGCATGCATCAGCATCGACACACACACGCACGCACCTTGGAGATGGCGTCAGAGAGTGCCACGTCAGCAGCCACCATGCGCTGGAATCCTTCCGCCACCAGCTTGCGCTCTGCCACCTGGCAGCACGCCATTGGGCAAGCAAGGAAATGGATGACAGAAGAGCTTCTCCACCAGGACCAGCTTTTTCAGAAGGGCTTTGGCTCAAAATAAGAAGGGCTGCATTCAACGGCTTGTGACTGGGAAGCTGGCTGAAGAATGAAAACCGCAAGACCATCCCATCCCATCCCATCCCATCCCATCCCACCCCACCCCACCCCGTCCATCCAGCCCTTGTGCCAAGGCAAGACGCATACAGTGCGGCATACGATGTGTGGCGGGCTGCTCACCTTCCAGTCGTTGACGCTGGACCCGGGCACGCCCTGCGCTATCCTCCTTTGAAGCTCCTCCGCTGCTAGGTCGGTGAGCCGCCTCATGTTGCTGCCGGCAAGCTGCGCATGCGCCTGTGCATGCACATGCACATGCACATGCACATGCCCACACATGCACCCACATGTGCATGCACATGCAACCACATATGTGCACAGACACAGCGGGAGTATTGCATAAGTATGCATGCACATGCAACCGCAACGCCTGGACATCCAACAGGGGGATGGACACAACCGTTGAGCCACACCCACAGCCACACGCACCAGACTGCCATACCTGCGACTGCCGTACCTGACAATTCATATCATACCTTATTCCAGACCCGCATGGGGGGGTCGGCAGCAGGGCATGCTTGGCGCATGGCGGCCAGTGCAGTGCTCACATCCTCGCCCCTCACGAAGGTCGTGTAGCTGCTCACACACGTTGCACACAGCGACACGTGGCACACGGAGAGGCGTGGCACACGGAGAGACGTGGCACACGGAGACACGTGGCACACGGAGACACGTGGAGACACATAAGGACACAGATGAGACAGGGAGCAACTCACGAGGTCAAACACGAGTCGAGATGCGGAGCTTGAGAGGTGGCGTGTGAAGAGGCCAGGAGGAAGGCCGATCGGACACACCAGGAGGTGACAGAAATACGAATGTGAGGGACGGAGAGGCAGAGAGCTGGGAACGTGTGTAATGAGTCTATTTTTGAGTCGACTCAAAAATGTGACAGAAATAGGAATGTGAGAGACGGAGAGGTAGAGAGCTGGGAACGAACGACGGGGAAATGGGGCGGGAAGCAGGGGTCGGGGGTGGCGGAAAAGAGGGGTTGTGGACGGTACCCAAGGGCGACGAGAGCACTGGCGGTGTGAGGGGAGCGGCTGATGACCATGACTCTGTCTGTGCCCCGTCGCCTCCAGCGACGCCAACTCCCGCACTGCTTACCTACCGCACCCTCTCACCAATGGCTTGCTAGTGCGTGTGTGAGGGGGGGTTGGGCTTACCCAAGCGCGACAAGCGCACTGGCGGTGTGGGGGGAGCAGCTGACCACCAGGACCCTGTGCCCCGTCGCCACCAGCGATGCCACCACTCGCACCGCTTCCAGCACCTGCGATACCACGTCCTCCCCCTCCTCCCCCTCCCCATCCTCCTCCCCAAAAGAACCTTCCAAGTCCGACTCCCCCGCTTCCCCCTCCCCCAGTGTTCCCCCCAGTGATCCCCTTCTCCCCTCCCCTCCCGCCTCTTCCGCCCTCCCCGCGTCTTCCCCCACCGCCAGCTTGAGCGCCACTCCCCCCTCTCGCGCCAGCTGGCGGGCCACGGCGGACCAATCAACGGCCAGGGATGACTCGTGCTCCGACGGCTGTGATTGGAGGGCGAAGGGGGGCGAGGGGAGAGAAGGGGGTGGGGAGAAGGGGAGGGGGAGAAGGGGAGGGGGGGAAGGGGAGGGGGGGAAGGGGAGGGGGGGAAGGGGAGGGGGAAAGAAGAGAGAGAGCGAGAAGGGAAGAGAAGCGGGTGGAGGGAGGGAAGGCTGGAAATTAGGGTTTGCGAAGGAACAAGGAGATACGGTCAAAGGGACTTTCTCCACAATGTGGACTTGCACGTGTGTAAGATGGGAGGAGAGGGGGAGTGCGAGGGGGGGAGAGTGCGAGAGGGAGGAGGAGAGGCGCTACAGGAAGAGCAGAAGGAACGACACAAGGCGCAAGTCAGCTACCAAGACAGGGACCTAACTAGATCACGGGAAACACCTACCAGTAACGAGACGACAGCTGTCACGCCTGCCCTGGACGCAACGACATCCACGTCAGCAGCCGACACGAGCGGCGAGCCTATGAGCACGTCCTTTGCCACCTGGCACCACACGATTGGCCACTCCGCCTCCATGTGAAGACTCTCCTGATGGCTCTGCGCCACCGAATCCCCCTCCCCCACCCCCTCACTGGCGGTAACCGCGCGGAGCATCCGCGGGTACGCCCCCGCGCACCTCTCGTCCCGCGGATTCTCCGCCACTCCGCCTCCGCTTCCCCCTGCAGCGCGTGAAAGCGGCGGAACGATCGGGGGGAGCGCGCGGATGGCGGAAACCAGCTGGAATTGCGCAACCATGGCGCTGCTGTCGCCCTCCGCGAACACCACCTCGTGCACATACCCCACCCCCTCCGCCCCCTGCCACCTATCCCCGCGCCGATTGACTGGCAGGATCCCGCTATGATCTCCAGCGGCACCGGCAATGCCCGCTATTTCCGGAACGTTCGATCCGTTCAGGCGCCTCCTGTTAGTAGCGATCTCCGGCGGGTGAAAACGGCTTTCCGACTGGTCTTTCTTGCTCACATCGGAACCGCTGAAATCCGACGGTCCACCGGCCGTCGCGCGGATCGCCAACGATCGCGATTTCTTCCCATCGCTTAGGCTGAGGCTGGCGGCTCGCCGAAGGAGCTTCGGTGAGTGACGGGAAAAGCGTGGGGACAAATGCCCTGCAAATGCTTGTTGATTTCTTCGTGGAGACCTAATAATATATCCAGGGCGACGTAGTCCTGCGATTGTGACGAAACCGCGACCATTGCGGAGGCGGCTTGTCAGTTTTAATCCTGCTGCACGGCCGGCTGGGGGGGGCGGCTGAATCGACGACCCCGCGGTAACGCGAACGGAGATGGGTGACATAGAAATGTCTTCCTGCCGCCACGTGGCAATAGATACAGTCTGTAAGGTTGCCATTAGGGTACGAGATGGCACTTAGCACCCAGGCTAAAGCATCCGTTTAGATAGGCAATAGAGCCGAGCCGTGATGGCGGCAGGCACGGAATTCTGTGCGGTTCGCCGGATTATCCACCAGACTGGGCTTCCGTGCCACAGACAGAAGCAGGCGAGCGAGTGAGAGAGCGAACTCCTCCCTATCGCTCTGTCAACTAGAAACGCAAAGCTGGAGGGAAAGCGGGTTTGTATCACCTCACCTAGTAATGTATCTTGGTTCCTGGTACAGTAGCTGCATACAGTATCGCCTAGATCTTGACTGAAAACCTTCGCAAGTGGTAACTACTAATTGGACGACTCGTTTCGCCTAGCCAATTTCAGTGGGCCCGCCAGAAAATATTTGTTCGCCAGCCTCACGACGTTCGCGGACGCGGAGGGAGGAACAGATAAATTGGGATGAGGCTGCTTTTGCGCGCCAAACATCTTGCCACGTCATCGATGATATGCGGGAGCTGCCGTTTCCCTCAAGCCGCAGCCAAATCTGCCACCATGGACATTGCCTGCCCATCGATATAAGAGCGGGTTCCAATCTCTTTTGAAGCACTTCAGTTCATCCGTATTCTATGGTTCCTTTGGAGGGAATTTCCTTGTACGCAGTCAGAATACTTGGGGTTTGTAAGAGGCCACAGTTTATCGGAGATCAAGTTCAGGCCCTGCTTCAACAACGAACGTCCTGCGAGAACTGCTCCTTCGTTCATCGCTGCCCCATCAAATCTCGACAGTTGCTGCCCTCTCTCCATCATGCGTTACTTTCGCAATGACGGGCTAGGCACCGTACTGTATCGTAATTCACTGCCATCCACCTCGGTCACCAAGCGGGGCTGCTACTTCAGTAAACATTTCAGGTCAGTCTCAGAAGTTGCAATTCGCCTCACTGTGCCTTGCCATCCATATGAGGAAAATCCTATCTTCAGTTCGGATAGTCCACAGTGCTCCTCAAGCTCGTATTCCGTCGTACAAGTTAGTGCATGGAAGAGGCTCTCAAAACGACCTGCCTAGAGAGAACGTAAGAATGTCACCCTCCAGCATGGCAGCCAGGTGAGCGAATCGCGGAGAACTTCCCGCTCGAGTGATGCACGGCGGACGGACGCTGCAGCTTGCATGGCTGACGTGTTCGTTTCTGGTCCGAGATAAACTCGCGCAAAGCTGTCGTGCTTGCGGGAAAAGGCTTTTCGCCAGCTCGTCTCCTAGTACTGTACAGTAGCAGCTATCTTCTCTCCTGAAAACTGTAGTGTGGAACAGCAGTGGGCCAGCATTCCCAGCTTCAACTTGAAGCTGTCGTTACTAGAGAGTGCGGCTCGACATGTTTCTTCATCATGGCGTTTTGCCGTCTTTCCCCAACACTGTTACCCAAACGTTCGACGCCATTGATTGGTGGCCGCATAAGAGAGCTGCTTCCGTTGATGGATAGACGGTCCACATCCAATGAATGGATGCCATGGTTGCCATGGCTGCTCCAACGTCTCTGCTGCATGCTTGCCTGTTCGTTAGGCAGAAGAGCTGTTTTTTTCGTCTCGAGGGGCCCTCGCATGGCGTTGCCATTCATCAGTCTCTACCCGGCGGAAGTACGCTGCTGTCAGTACAGTATGGATCCGCGAGCTTTACTGGGGAAAGACAGCCGAAATGACGCTGACGGAGGGTGGCTGCTTCGTCTTCGCATCCAGCGGCAGGCATCCTCCCAGAACTCCGTCCCTCCACTCCATCCCTCTCCCTGTCCGTCTGTCACGGACGGACACAGTGTCCACCATCTCCAAGGTTTGCACAGCCCGGGGCTCCCGGCTCCCAGACTAGGGAGGGCGATGACCGCTCGTCAGCACATCATACCAGCACTGACTGACTCAGTCACGCCCTTGGGAAGCTGGTGTGAGATTGTTGAGCCACGAAGCCTCCCTTTAGAAGCCGCTCTTCAGAAGCCTCTCTTAAAAGCCTCTTATCTGAGATCTGAGATCGGCTTACTGATTCCGCGTACTACGGAACGGCTAAACTAGCAGTACGTCAAGTACTTCAACTGTACTTAACTATTAGTACCGCTAGCGTGGCTGCTGCTGTACCGGGTAGATTCCGTCGATCTCTAGGTAACGTGCCACCCGTTCGCCGGGCCGACACCACCTAGTTCTGCTACTGATGGCCGAGGCGCTCGTGCTTTTCGAATCTCCGGCTCACAACAAAATACTCCGCGCCACCAGTCGTGCCCCCCCCCCGCCAGCAGCAGCAGCGGCGGTGCTGGCGGAGAGTCGAGGCCACGTGGAGAGCCCCCAGCAGCCTCCAGCCGTGGGTCCCTCACCATCAAGGCCTAGCAGCGACCTGCAGGGGTCTCAGCAGCGCGGGTCGACGCAGCTCAGGTGCCACGTGGCGAGTCCCTGGCGGCCTCCAGCCATATCCTCACCCTCAGGGCCTAGCAGCGACCAGCAGGGGTCTCAGCAGCGCGAGATCGCGGCTTGGCCTGGTAGCAGTAAGCAGCAGAGGTCTCAGGGGCGCAAGTCAAGGCAGCTCACGTGCCACGTGGAGAGCCCCCGGCCTCCAACTGCCACGCTGGCCGAGGAATCTCCAAGGAGCCTCCAGCCTCCAGATCCGGAAGCTTCGAAGAGTGTTCGTCTGCACCACCGCAGGGCCAAAAGCGGGAGCATCTGCTACGACAGCCACGTCAGCAGCCACGTCAGCAGCCCCAGCAGCAGCAGCAACTTGTGCCTAGACCCGCCTATACGCGCTGCACCACGTGGCACGAGCAGTTGGCAGTTCAAAACACCTCCCAGTCCTACCGGTGTTGCTGACGTGGCACCTGCCATCATGATGACGGAGTGCCCGTTGACAGCTCCTGCTACAGCTCAGGCCGCTTCTGGACAGGGGAAGGGGAATGGCAGCTCCCTGAACGGTCACAGCAGCCCTCGATATAATCACACCCGGCAATGCGGACAGGACAGCCCTCGAGACTGCCGCGCTTCTGGCGCTGGCAGCATTGCCCCGCTGTTCCCGTCAGCTGGCAGCGAACCGTCGCCATGTGGCGTGCTGAAAAGGAGTCCACGTGGACTCCCTCCCAGCAGGAGCAGCCCCAGCAGCAACAATGCTGGTAGCAGTAGGGCTGCTAGTAATATTGGTAACTTCAGCTCGTCTGTTACCAGCAAGAGCATGGTTACAACTGCTGACTCACATCCATTGTCATTTGCCCCTGAACTCTCTCCGGACGACTCGGACGAGGTTTGGGGGCCACGGTTTGGAGCCTCGGTACCCTTAGTACGGTCCCCAGCCTCCGAACCTGGCTGGTCTGGGCGGTTTGCTCCAGTGGACCTGGACGAATGGGGCTCTGCCACGTATGCTGCTCGGTCTACTCACGGCGTGGGTGTGGCCGATCCATTTGGTGTTTGTGACGGCAAGTTTGGGAGCGGCATTGCTGCTGACAGTGATCCTGCCGAGGGCGAACTGCAGCGGTTCTGCAGCGTGGGGCACCATCCTGCTTGTAGGAACCGTGGCTGGGGTGACCCGCACAGCGCTGTCTCTGCTCTGCACGTCCCGCTCTCTGCGCCGCACTGCTCTGCTCCTCCTCCTCCTTTGCACCACCGCAGCTCAGCCATGAGGCAGCAGCAGCAGCAGCAGCAGCAGCAGCAGCAGCGTGCGGTTCACAGGAGATCGCACTCCCACGGCACTGCATTGTCACGCGCAGACAGCTCCGCTGCATCCCAAGCGCTCACAAGTCACCCGGGTCACCCAGCTTCGTCCCCATCCGTCACCTCGCTTCATGGCCGAGGCCGCAGCAAGGCGCTGAAGCACCCGCCTCTCCTTCAGGGAGAGCAGAAGGGGCAGGGGGGGCAGGGGGAACAGAGGCAGCAGAAGGAGCAGAAGAAGCTGAAAGGTCAGAAGGTGCCAGTTGAGCTAAGCAGTGGCGGCAGCAGGGGTGGTGGTGTGGGTGGGGGTGGGGGTGGGGGTGGGGGTGGGGATGGGGGTGGGGGTGGGGGTGGGGGTGGGGTGGGGGTGGGGGTGGGGTGGGGGTGGGGTGGGGGTGGGGGTGGGGGTGGGGTGGGGGTGGGGTTGGGGTTGGGGGTGGGGGTGGGTGTGGGGGTGGGGATGGAGATGGGGGTGAAGCGAGTGACTCGGATGACGATTTCATTGGGTTCTATGCAGCTGTCATGCGCAGCCATGCTGCAAGCATGAAGCGCCATGCCGCCAGTGCCCAGCTGGGAAGCAGCTGGACTGGCAGCAACAACAGAGGAAGCTCCTCCCCTGTGAGCAGTGCAGTAGTGGGTAACAGCGGCACTGCGGACAGCAACCTAGGCAGCTCTAGGGCTACAGCGCGCGCGGCTTTGAGCAACAATAAAGGAAGCTTCTCTGCCAGCAGCCCAGGAGTGGGTAACGGCGGGACTGCAGGCAGCATCCTAGAGAGCTGTGGTGCTACAGTGTGCCCGGCTTTGTGTGAAGGCACTAACTTTCCTGCTACAGAGTGGGGTGTGCAGATCAGTGGTTCTGGCACCAGTAGCAGCAGCATCACCAGTTGGAGTAAAAGCAGCGTCCGTCAGACCAAGAGCAGCAGCAGCACTCAGAGCACCAGCAACAGTATCTCTGAGAAGGGAGGGGGAGAAGAGAGGAAGGGGATGGAGAGGAATGGGATGGAGAGAAATGGGATGGAGAGGAATGGGATGGAGAGGAATGGGATGGAGAGGAATGGGATGGAGAGAAATGGGATGGAGAGGAATGGGATGGAGAGGAATGGGATGGAGAGAAACGGGATGGAGAGGAATGGGATGGAGAGGAATGGGATGGAGAGGAATGGGATGGAGAGAAATGGGATGGAGAGGAATGGGATGGAGAGAAATGGGATGGAGAGGAATGGGATGGAGAGAAATGGGATGGAGAGGAATGGGATGGAGAGGAATGGGATGGAGAGAAATGGGATGGAGAGGAATGGGATGGAGAGGAATGGGATGGAGAGGAATGGGATGGAGAGGAATGGGATGGAGAGGAAGGAGAGGAGGGATGAGAGGAAGGCGAGGATGGCAATGCAAGAGGGGATACAGAAGGAAACAGCGAGGAAAGAGGGGAACCCTAGGAGTAGCTTGACTCTAAGAAGCAGCCTTACTTTGGCGAGCAGCGTCAGCGCGAGCATCCGAACGAGCATCAGCAGCAGCCTTGCTGGCCGGTGGAGCCAACGACTCAGGAGGAGCACCAGCAGCGGGAATAGCAGCGGGAGGGGCAGCAGGAGAAGCAGCGGGAGGGGCAGCAGCACCCAAACACGAGGTTCGGCAGGTGAGATGTGTGAGGCACAAGGCAGTGAGAAGGCGAGTGAATTTGGGAGTGGCCGGGGGAGTGGACAAGGGAGTGGACAGGGAAGAGAGGGCAGGTCCTGGAGGAGGAGCAACAGCTTCGGCCTCAGCAGCATCGCCAGCAGCATCAGCAGCGGATTCCCGTGGCACTCAACTGATAGCGACAGCGCCGTAACGCCTGGCAGCGTCACTAGCAGTGGTACCGATGTTACCAGTGGTACAGGTGTTACCAATGGTGCCAACACAGGCACCGGTGCTTTTGCCTCCGAGTCTCGACCACCCCGGGCCAGGAGGTCCCAGAGCTGGGTGAGGGTGCGGCAGCAGCCCCGCAATCCGTGGGAGGCAGAAGGCATTGATTACAGCTCCAAGGGGAATAGTGCTGAGAAGGGTGTGAAACTTGATGGCCAGTCAACGGAGTCAAAGGGGTCAGTGGGGTCAATGGGGTCAAAGGATGACCCAAGGACGGGAGGCAAGAGCAGTAGGCAAGGCCATGACCTTCATTCGGCTGAGGTGGCAGAGGGCATGGCGTGCTCTTTTCATCATCAGCCGCACCTGGAAACACGCCAGGCAAGGTGCTCTCATAGGGATGATACTCTACAAGGGCATGGCAGTGGGAATGGGCATGGGAATGGGAATGGCCATAGGCATGGAAGCGGGTACCAGCAGGCAAGCAGGTGGACCTTGAAACAATCACACAGGTTTTTGAGCCGGTTGAGAAAGGAAGTAACGTTCAAGGGAGAAGTTGAGCACATCTTGTAGCCGTGAAAGGTTTTCGAGACCAGACAGCAAGCGAAAGGCTCAGAGATGCACACAGATATCTCTGTGGATTTCATTTGTTTCCGCTTAGGGTCCCAACCTGTATGCAACCTGCCTATTATATGGATGGAGCTTGTTTGATTTCATTCTACACATTGGATTCGGCTTCTATATACGGATTATAAAAATATTTGAAGTTGTATTATACACTCACAGAACCAGCCAGATCGGACCAAGCCAGAATCCGTTCCTCTTCAGGGCGCCACGCTTTCGAGCTGGAAAATCCTCCTGATCCGACGAATCCGAGGACCATTGACGAACCCCCAGAGATTTGAAGCATACTGTACCGCAGTTACAGGTGGCTTGGGTGGTTCGCAAGCAGTGCAAGCAAACCCCCATGCTCTAGTCTTCCCTAAACTGGGCGGAAGACTAAGCAGCTCTCATGCAAACGCTCCAGGCCTTGAATCTTCTTCTCACTCCTAGAATTTTCCTGCAGATCCGTCCAACCAAACCGCCTTAGTCCGCTCCGTACGTACCAGGGGTGTGCATTCTTCCCCCAAGGAGCTATTATTCACGAACCACGATTCGCTGGCGGATCAGGGGGCCACAGTCGCCGGTTTCCGTTAAATTCACGAGCTCGCGAACGCACGTGAAACTTGGAGCACCCTAGGTTTTATGAGTTCTCGAGGTTGTATGAACTTTGTCCCAGCTGTCGGGTCCATCGCAGCTGTCCGTGCGTGAATCTCGACAACAGTGGAAAAGTGTGGCGCTGGCTACTGATGTATAGTTGCGTGTCGATCTGCCGCCTTATCCCTCTGTAACTCCCGCGTCGTCTGCAGCTCCGTCCCCTGTGTCTGAGCCTGGGTGGCCGACGAGATGGTCTGGTCGGAGCTTCCGCACGGAGCAGCAGCAGCAGCAGCAGCAGCAGCAGCAGCAAAAGCCATCTCCAAAAAGTGTATGACCCACACCTCACCGCCTCGGAGGCATCTCCTTTTTGTACCTTTCAAGTCACCTCGATGTGACAATCGGGCCACATTGTTGTCAGTGTGGCACGTGATGCGCGTGCCACATTTCTCTCGCCACTCCAACCCCTCCCCCTCCAAAACCGCTCGTTACACTTCTTCACCTACCCCAACCCATTTCCCACCAACCAAACCTCCTCTACCTACCAAATTTCCAACCCAACTTTTCTAGCTCATCTCCTCCAACCTAAGGCCTCCCAACTACTCCTTAATTTCCCCAACTCTCATAATCATTCCTAGTCCACCTCAACCAAGCTTCCAATCAATCCTCCTATTCGTCTCCAACTCCCACCTCAAGGCACATGACTCTTCATCATTTTTCATGTGCTCTCTCTTCCTACTCATCAAGAATTCTCCAAGTCATCTACTCCAACCAATAATCCTCCTCACATATAACTCAAGCACATTCCTTCCTTCCCTACTCATCAACCTCCACATGCCATTTATTTTTTCCTTCCTTCCTTCCTATCTCAAGTCATCCAAGTTGCCATATCATCACACAAGACTCTCATGAATCCTTACATTCCTCACCTTCCAACTCAACAAATCTTTCATTCCTCCTCCTTTCCTTCCTTTCCAACTCATCCTAGTTTCTCTCCAACACCACATGGTTTACAACTCCAAGCCACCAAAGGCTCAACAACCATCCCATGCTCCGCTACTATTCATCTTCACCAAGAATCCTCTCCAACTTCTCAAGAATTTTCTCAAAGTACAACAAGGCATCTCCAAGCTCCTCTCCTTCAAGCTCCCCTTCAATTCTTCTTCAAGCTCCTCAAGTTCACTCCACTAAAAAGGCTCCTTGTTAGCGTTCATGTTCCATGTCTCTAGAGATGGTATTACCATGCTACATTTCTTCCTAGACTACTATGAGTGGTATCTCTCTCATGCATGTCCTTGTATCCACCATGGATTATAAGGCTTGTACTATACCCTATTTCATATAATTTTATGCTCTCAGAGTTCTCTCACAAAGTTACTAGATTAGCAAAGTAATCAAGCATTTGTCCACCTTATACCCAACTTGAGTATAAGATGCATCACCAAGCCACAAGCTTGTAGTACGATCCTCTTCTTCAACACTCAACTTTGTGGCACCCTCACTCTTCAATTACAAGGCCCTCTCCTTCAACCACATCCAAGATTGTGGTCTCTCCTCGAGCTTGTGGTCTCCTCCCAAGCTTGTGGTCTTCTCTCAAGCTCAAGATCCTTTCCAAGTGCAAGTCCTCCTCTATCAAGAACCACTCCCAAGATCCTACATCTCTTTTATTTAGTATGACATACATAAGTAAGTCTTTCACTCTTCTTCACAAGCATCACTCCCTTGACAAGTCTCTTTTTACTCGCTTGAGTACCTTTCCCTTATTTCTTACAAGCATATTGTAATCCCATTTATATGCGCTACAGCTCTACTATTGCACTCTTGTCCTATTCAACCATGCAATTATACTATTTTGTCTTTATCTAAAAATTTATCTAGTGTCAGAGCGCGTAATATCCTCATTCCTTGCTTTCGCAAAGCCTCTCATTAAACCCAAAAAAAGGGAAGAAAAAAAAAAAGGCATAAAAGGCTCCACACTCACCTCCCTCCTTCTCCATGCCTCCCACAGTCAAGTACGACAGTCAAAAGCGCACCACTTCACAAGAGGAATCTAACTCCTCCGAAGTGAGTGGCGCCAAGATAAGAGAAGGTGATACCGCATCAACCCCGTCTCATCCCAATCCCCCCTATATCCTAATGTCTTCTCTATTCCCACTTATTCCTAAGCTAGAAGTGCCACGGTTCAGTGGAAAGGACTTCCAAACATGGAGCATCCGTTTCCAATTGGCCGCCACTCTCCTAGAGTGGTGGCCCGTTTATTCTGGTTCTGTTTCTCCTCCTTCTACTGAAACCCCTCAAACAGAACAGTCGGCATGGGTAAAGAAGAATGCCGAAGCCTACCTCTACCTTCTCAACTCAGTTCAAGACCAGTACACCAAGTCGCTACTGACATGCACCAGTCATCGCAACAATGCGAAGCCCGCGTGGGAGAGACTTAAAAGGCTCAATCAACCATGCACCGAGAGCAGGAAGGCAGAAATGTGGGGGAAAATCTGCAACTTGCGAATGGAGCTAAAGAGGCAATCCCCAAGTACTTGGAGCGGGCGGAGATCCTCCTCAGCAACGCCGAAGTCATCGGAGTTGTCGTCCCAGAGGAGCTCTTCCTCACCATCCTGCTCGCCGAACTTACACCCGAGTGGACCCATATGAGGAGCACAATTCAAGCCTTTCATGAGGAGCAAAAGTCTTGCGACTTCACCTTCAACACCCTCATTGGAGAGCACCAGACTCGCGCGCTAGCCAAGACTAAGGAAGAGAACAACAAGCCAGTATGGGCCGCTGCTGTGTCTACTCAAGGTCACGGCAATTACAACAACAACCAAGGCAAGAACTTGCAATCACAACTGAGTAAGCCCTCCAACCAATCTATTCTAGGTCGTTTTCCCTCGTCCAATACATCTCCCAACCAATCATTCTCTTCAAGTTCATCCCAGTTCTCCAAGCCTCTGTCTGGCAAGTTCAATTATGCATGTCATTTCTGTCATGAATGGGAAAACCCTTGGTTCAAGTGCCCTCGTAAGCCACCTAATTGGACCCCTCCACCTCACATGCTTACAGCCAAGGGTAGAGCTGCTCTATCTCATGATGTAAGCTCTCAATCAGAGCCTGCTCAATTCCCCTCAACTCACCCCTCTAATCCACAGCAATTCCCCAGCAACCCTTTCCCTATTCCTATTACCCAGTGCAGCCATACCCAATGTTTTACCCTCCACCAGTGCAAGGCTACCCATTTACGCCTCAACAGGCCACACAATTCACGACTCCCAACTCTGCCCCCTCTTCTTCCTCCCAAGGCACTACACAAGGCATCAGCTTTGCCATGACTACCTCTGCTCCTACATTTTCATTCAATCCCAGCTACTGGTACTTGGATAGTGGGTGTAACCAATACATGACACCCAACTCTTCTCTTCTTCATTCTCTTATCCCCACATCAATCTCGTCAGTCACAGTTGCCAACATGGAGTCCACTCCCACTACAGGCGAAGGAACACTCACCTTTCTCAACTCTGCTGGCAAGCCTGTCTCAATCGCAGGTGTCCTCTTGGTCCCCAACCTTGGAGCCAACTTGCTGTCAGTAGGGCAACTCGAGGAGAAAGGTTGCACTATTTCCTTCACTAGTGGTTCTGTGCAGATTCGCGCAGAGTCGGGATTCGTCATTGCACGTGGTGAGCGAGCGGGATGCCTTTACCGCCTCCAACTCGATGTGAACCCGGAGTACCGCCGCCTCCACGGTTATACCGCCGCTGCAGCAACCACTGTTAGACCACATCCAGGTATGACCACTACTCCCCAAATGTGGCATTATCATCTAGGTCATCCAGGAGAGTCAGCCATAAAGTCCATCACCGCTCATGCAAGCCTAGAAGGTCTCACTATCACCTCAAGTTCACAGTCATCCTCATCCTCGTCTCCTTGCCCTACGTGCGTCGAAGCAAAGCATGCACATCATCCTCGTCCCCCCATCAATGTGCAAGTGTCAAGTCCCCTAGAGCTGGTCCACAGTGACATCGTTGGCCCAGCTCGCACACTCAGTCGCACAGGCAAGCGCTTCATCATGACTCTCATAGATCATAAGACACGCTTTGCATGGGTATTCCTTCTTCTCTCAAAAGACCAAGTCCCTGATGCATTTAAATTCTGGCAAATCTACATTGAGAGGCAAACCGGCCTCAAAGTCAAGGCTCTGCATTCTGACCTAGGGGGGAAATACATGGGTAAGTCATTCCAGTCTTATCTCTCATCCCTTGGTATTGGTCATAACCTTTCATGTCCATACATCCCCCAGCAAAATGGCATTGCTGAGAGGTTTAAGTGAACCTTGCAAGAAATTGCAAGATACCTTCTCCTCCATATGAAGCTAGCTGATGCATGGTGGGGAGACGCCGTCAACCATGCCGTTCACCTCAAGAACCGACGCCCAACCGCTGCTCTTCCGTCAAGTATAACCCCGTATGAAGCATGGTATAGGGCAAAGCCCGACGTTACCATATTAAGGGTGTTTGGGTGCATGGGGCAGTATCACATTCC